AGGAGAGACCGGTCCTTAGAGAGGGACATCATGCTTGGGAGGGTGGAGGGACAGCGCAGGAGAGGAAGGCCCTCTATGAGGTGGATTGATTCTGTGGGATAATTGGGACGGGAGTGTCAGAGACAGTGCAATTGGCACAGGACAGAGCGGAGTTTAGGGCTGTTGTACATAGGGTCGCTATGAGTTGCAGGCGACTTGAGGGCACATAACAACAACAACAACATCTCCACACTTCTTTTCAATCTGTATGCACAAAAGATTATCTGGGAGGCTGGGCTCTATGAGGAGAAATGTGGCATCAGGATTGGAGGAAGACTTATCAACAAGCTGTGTTATGCAGATGACACAACACTGCTTGCTGAAACTGAGGAGGACCTGAAGTGCTTGCTGTAGAAGGTAAAGGACTGCAGCCCTCAAAACGGATTGAAGCCAAATATCAAGAAAACAAAGATTCTCACCCACCACTGGGCTTATTGGCAGCATCATGATGGATGGTGAAGAGATTGAGATTGTAAACAACTTTAGTTTCCTTGGCACCACAATCAACAGTCTTGGCATCAGTAGTCATGAAATTAAGACATATTGTCCTGGGAAAGTCTGCTGTCAGAGACCTCTCAAGAGTACTGAAGAGCAATGATGTCAGTCTAGAGATTAAGGTATGCCTGATACAGGGCATGTTCTTTGCAATCATTTGTTATGTATCAGAGAGCTGGACAATGACTAGGGATGATAGGAGAATTAATGCCTTTGAGTTGTGGTATTGGAGAAGAGTATTGAATATACTATTGACTGCTAAGAGAACGAACAGGTTCATCTTGGAGAGAATTAAGCAGCCTGCTCCTTTGAGGCAAGAATTCTAATGCTTCGTCTGGCATACTCTAGACATTTTGCAAGGAGGGACCAGTTCTTTGAGAGGGATGGCATGCTTGGGAGGATGGAGGGACAGCACAGGAGAGGAAGGCCCTCAATGAGATGGATTGATTAAGTTACTGGGGTAACGGGGGTAGGTGTGTCAGAGACAATAAGATTGGCACAAGATAGAGCAGAGTTTAGGGCTGTTGTACATAGAGTTGCTATGAGTCATAGGCAACTAGATGGCACATAACAATTGAACTTTCATTTTTTAAGTATAATTTTTACAAGTACAGAATTCTTGGCTTATTTTTATCAGTTTTTTAGTTGTATCTTGAACAAATTTCATTGTCTCTAACACACTAATTTCATTACCTCAGTCACTGTGTCAATCCATCTGATCTATGGTCTTCCTCTCCTGTGCTATCCCTCCACCCTTCCAAACATGATGTCCTTCTCCAAGGACTGCTTCCCTCTGGCAAATGCCCAAAATATGTGAGATGGAACTATAAAATCTTTGCCTCCAAGAAGCAGCCTGGTTTCACCCATTACAGAACAGACCTGTTTTTTCTCTTAGCAGTGCATGGTATGTTCAGTACTCTTCTTCAGCACCACAACTCAAAGGCATTGATTCTTTTTCTATCATCTTTAATCATTGTCCATCTCTATGATACATCGCAAGTAATTGTGAAGATCATGGTTTAGATCAGACACACTTTAGTCTCTAGATCAGCTTCATTGTAATTTAATTGATCCTAGCAATAGACACTTCATTCATTTATTCTCATTGCCATCAAACAAAAACTCATTCATAGTTGACCCTCCAATGGGCTTTAAAACTGTAACTCATACTGTAGAGATTGTCCATCTTTCTCCCACAGAGCAACTGGTGGATTTGAACTGCTGACTTTTGGGTTAGGTATACAACTCCTTATCTGCTACAATTCCTCAGCTCTCTAGTGGCCACCTAGGTTGTATCTAGTAACAAAGAACAATGTGGTGAATATCCCATAACACCCATATCCTCTTGGAGACTTTGGTAAAATATGTCTTTGTGTTTATGTTGAGGAATTTAATTGTCATTTTAAAAGTGTGTGCTCCTGTAAAAGTCGCACTCACTGCAGTCTGTCAGAACTAACTTATTGCTGATCCTCCAGTAGGTTTTCTGGAGGCTGTAAATTGCACAAGAGGAGACTGCCCAGAGCTGCTAGTGGATTTGAACCACCAGAGAGAAGCTGCCTTTGGACTAGCAGCAGAACTCCCTATGGACTACACCACCAGAGCTCCCTGTATTTATGTTTGCTGTTCTGTACAATTGAACTGAAACTGATCCATACCTGACCCTCCTGTGGGTTTTTAGATGCAGTAAATTGGAAGAAATTGTTCATCTTTTTTCCACAGAGCAACTAGTAGATTTGAACTGAGTACATTTGAGTTGGGGAGCAATTCCTTATCACTAAGCTACCAGAAATCCTTATGCATATATATAAATCCTATAGAATGTCTTAACCAATTTATATACTCTGTAAGTAATATGAAGGAGCCCTAGTGGTGTAGTAGATTAAATGTTGGACTGCTAACTGGGATAGTTCAAATTCATCAACTGGTTCTTTGGAAAGAGCTGAGGCAATCTCTTCCTATTAGCATTTGCAGGCTCAGAAATACAGTGGAGGATCTTTAGGAAACAAAATTAATTCAACAGCATTGTTGTTGTACCATCAAATCTAGTTTAACTCATGAGGATCCTATGAACAAAGATCTGATCCCTGCCCTATCCTGTGCCAACCTCACAATCTCTAATACACTTGAGCCCATTGCTGTAGTCACTACATTAGTCCAACTAGGTGAAGGTCTTCTTCTTCATCATCCCTCTACCTTTCCAAGAATGATGTCCTTCTCTAAGGAATACCATCTACTAGCAACATACTTAAAACATGTAAGACAAAGCTCTGCTATCCTTGCCTTCAAGGAGCACTCTGGTTTCACCTTCTCCAAGACATATCTACATGTCCTTTTGTCAGTTCATGGGATATTCAATACTCTCCTCCAAAAAAGATAAAACATTCCCTAGAGCTGGTATCTGGAAATGGACTGGAGTCTCCTGATCTATGAGACTTATCTGTAAGTTTGTTGAATTTGGGAAATGATCTGCATAGTGCTAATTATTTCATAGCTTTCCTATCTGTATTCTTGTTTGTTTGTTTTTTTTAGTACAGCACTTGTCTGTCAATTTGCTGTACTTAGGTAACTTATAAGTATTGCAATACTAACAGCTCTGCCACCAGTGTATCAAATGCGAGAGGAATCACCATGGACAAGTTTTAGTAGAGCTCCCAGATCAAGACAGAAAAAAAAAAGGATTAGCAATCTAATTCGTATTCTGAAATTGCAGGCCTCTGAAAACCCTGTGAACAACAGCCTTGGGTTATTTTATTACTTTAATTTTTAAAATTTTCTTTGAGATGTAGTGTATGGAGGCTCTAATTTATTTCATTTGAATAATTAATATTATTTAATTTTTATGTTTTCCCATTGTTACGTGTATCATTTTGTTTCTCAATATTCTTTTTTTTTTAAATTGTTTTGTTTTGCTTTTTATGTGTTTTTCTCTCCTTATTCTTTTAATATTTTCTGTGCTAGCTAGTTAGGTTAAATATCTTCTCACATAGTTTTCTTATTTATTTCTCTATTTTTTATCATATTTTCATATCTTATATATATTTTTCAATTTTTTAGAAACTTCTTTGTATAATTCTTATAATCTTTGACATTTCTAATCTTCTTTATAGCATTTTCTTTTCCTTTATGTTGCTTCATTATCTTAAGACTAGTTATTTGAGATTTAGCAAAACATAATTATCTTAAAAGCCCAAATAAAACCTGGATCTTAGAACCAGGTTCTGGATTAGTCTGGATTAAAATTACAGCCCTACCCCTAACTATGTATTTCATTAGACAATTACTCAACTTCTGTGTGCCAAGTGGCAAGACACTATGCTGCAATCCTGCAAGCATACAGTTCAAGTTTGCCAGCTACTTCATGGGAAAAGGATGGGCAATCTACTTCTGTGTGATTTACTGCTTCTGAAAACCCACAGGAGGGTCAGCTATGGGTCAGTTCTGACTCATGGTATAAAATGACAACACATGAATCATACACAACTTGACAGCACCTAACAACAACAAAAATTTAAATTTGCTTTCATATGCCATTGTGTTTGACTTTAGCCACATGGTTGGATGGGAAGTTACAGATAGGTGTATATACTAATGAGAGGACTGTTCAGTTTTTACTATTTTACCAGACTTAAAATGAGCAGGTTTATAGAGTCAGAAAAGGCAGAATGTCACTACCAGCAAGAAAGAAGAAGTGGAGAGTCCAGAGTTTCTTATGCCAGTTAGACATGAACTTAAACAGGAGCAGCAGTAGCAATGATGAGGAACCAATGAGACATAACTGACCAGAGACTGCCACCCTATGGAACCAGAGTCAGAGCTCGGGCATTTGCCAGAACTTGCTGTAGCATGAGTGTGGGGTAGGGAGATACCATAATTAGTAGGACGAAGAAAACTTAGTTATCACTGGATTAAAGTTGAGAGTCTGAAGATCAAAGGACTTGCAAGTATGCTTGAGAAGCCATCCTGACTGAAGAATTATATCTTGTTTCTAACCTGAATTATTACCTATTGGTGTCCCTCATAAACCCTATAATCATGAGTATGGTTCTGTGAGTTCTTTGTGGCTATTGTCACAGGGGGCTAACAGAGCCAATAGCAGAGCAGTGAAAACCTTGAGAGATTGGGGTTAAAACTGATAGAAGTAAGCTCAGGATTGTGGGGCATGTGTGGCCCCTTAGAAAACAGTTTTGTGCAATGGATGTATTAGAAGGTGACTGTTCCCCCTTGTGGACTGACTCGAGGTCAGGCTCAGCTGCATCCACACTGACTGCACTCCTTTTACACTATGATTCATTTTAATCATTAATAAATTGATGATAATAGTTTATAATTTATAGATTTTAAGTAATAATTATATGGATATGTAAAATATTTACAATATTACTTGTCACATAGTAACCTTTCTATATCTATTAGCAAGTGTAGTACTTATAATCTTTCATCATTATGTTGCTTACATATTGTCAACATTTCCATTTCAATAAAATTCCATGAATATAAAGTCTAGTCTGCCTTATTCTTTGCATATTTACAACATGATATGACAGTTTTTTAAAAGCATTGTTTTCTATTTCCCCAAATCCCCAAATCTTTCATAAAGTATGAGAGATTATGAACTGCCACCTGATTCTCACAGTTTACTAAGACTCACTTTGATCATTTTGTTCATAGTCAGGATGCCTGGAATTCTTGCACAGTACTGGTTTCCGGTAATGAGAGTTGGTTAAAACCTTTAATCCCATTGCCTTTAAAGACAAAATCAGTTTAAGATCACACAACGTTTTAGAGTAGCAGTTTAGACAAAGTTTTTGTTCTTTATATAGTTTTCATTCTCTTTTTTAACTTTTTATTTTCTAAATGTTGTTAAGTCTAGACATGCTTCCTTGACATTTTCTAAATATTTTTGGTTTTCGTTTATGTATTGAAGATATAGAAAATTATATTTTTACATTGATCCACAATCAGCCTCCATGGTGATAACATCAAGAAATCAAATGATACTTTGTGAAAATCTGCTGTGAAATACTTCTTTAAAATATTCAATAGCAAAATGTCACCTTGAGGAATAATATGTACTTGACACAAGCCATGATATTCTCAATCTCCTTATATGCATACAAAAGCTTATGTGGTACTTGTGAATATCAAATATAACACTGAATTCCAGAACAATGAACATGTGTGTCTTAGAAGTAGAGCTAGAGTGTTCCTTAGACGTGACTACGGTGAGATTTTTGTCTCATGTTCTTTGGACATGTTATCCAGAAGGAACCAGTCCCAGAAGAAGGAGAGCAGGCTTGGTAAAGAGGGTAAGGAAAAGAAAAAAAGGAAAAGAAAACAACCTCAAGAAAATGGGTCAACACAATTACAATTACAATGGTTTCAAACAATAATTATTCAAGCAGTAATTGTGAAGCTTGTGCAGGACTGAGCAGAATTTGGTTTTGTTATACTTAGTGTCATTATGAATTGGAACTGACCAATGGCATCTAACAACAAAGTGTCTTCGATTACCTTTGCGTCTCTGATTTAATAACATTTTCTTACAATTTAGAACTGTTTATAGCAATCTTTAAATGTAAATAAAGTCTCAGATATCACTCCCCTAGGTTGTGTGTGTTAGATGGCACACAATAACATGCTTGCTTACTGTAAACAGTTCATGAATTTGATTGCTGACTGAAGTGTCAGAGGTTTGAGTCCACCTAGAGACAGCAACTCTGGTGACCTAGTGGGAAGGTGTTGCACTCCTAACCCAAAAGCAGGCAATTTGAGTCCACCAGTTATATCACAGGTGAAAAACGGACAATCTCTGTGCAATTTTTAGCCTCTGACAACTCTCTAGTCAGCAATGAGTCAGTACCAATTCAAGGGCACATAACAAAAACATTATAAAGACACTTTAGAAGGAAATCTTGAGATCTACTCAGCTGCTGAAATCCCAGAGGAGCACAACTCTGCTCTGACACACATGGGCTTGCCACGAAAAGGAGTGCTCTCAAAGATAGCTGTTTTTTCTTTTGTTTCATTCTTCTTTTTAATAAAGTCACTAGCTTTAATTTGACTTTTTTTAAGTGGGGAGAACTAAGGAGGGTATTTTAATTGTAAATAAGTTAAAATTTATGTGTATTAAGATAAGACTATTTCAATATAGATATGAATAGACATAAGAGAAAGAGTTTCAGGTTTTACATTAGACATCCAGCACAGAAGGCATAAAATACTACATCAGGAAAATGGATAACTTTAAAAGTAAGATATTAATTCTTCTTCATAATAATATTAGCACCCTGAAGATTGTTATCCAAAACACATATATCAAATTTTTGCTGTTTGCATTAACTCTACTTTGCCATGCATATTCATTACTTCAACATAGCTTACCTTCACAAGATCATAGACATCTTTTCCAAAGTCAGTCCATTCAGGTGTGTAATATATTCCATTGTAAAGAATTGGATCTTGTTTGAGACATGGATCTTTAGGGCTATCCTCTAAGTTAAGCCCTTTGAAGTAATAGCCAAATAGTTGTTTGTAATATAGCTTACTATACACCTACATGGTAGAAGAGAATAAACATGTGGGTTTGTTTTTTAATGGAAAATGATTCACCATTATTCTCACAAAGTATATTAAAAAACATGGAAAATTATCATCATATTTATACGAAATAAGTAGCTACTTGGAAAGGATAGGGCTACAGAAATCTAAACATTTTGCTATATTATTTATTTAATCAGTTAAGCCATAATCCACTTACATTAAAACCAGTGAAGATAATTGAGACACAGTTGGATTTTAACAATTTACAGATTAGACTTCACAAATTCATTGGTTCCTCATTCAAGGTGATTGTTATTACACCTTTCTGAGTCAAATACAGTATTCATTACTCAAAATGAGAATTTTGTTCATGCTCTATTGAGTATTATGTTCTATAAGGTCAATGTTGTTGTTGTTGTTGCCTACCATCAAGTTGGAACCAATCCATAGCTGACGCTCCAGCAGGTTTTCAGAGACAGTTAATAGTATGGGAGGAGATTGCCCATCCTTTTTCTATAGAGCAGCTGGTGGTCTCGAACTGCATGCCTTTGGGACTGCAGCACAGTTTCTTGCCACTAGGCCACCAGAGCTCCCTAAAAGGTAATGTTGTTGTTGTTGTTGTGTGCCGTCGAGTCACCTGCGACTCATAGCGACCCTATGTACAACAGCACTAAACTCCGCTCTGTCCTATGCCAATTGCACTGTCTCCGACACTCCCATCCAAATTATCCCAGTCACTGAATCAATCCACCTCATAGAGGGCCTTCCTCTCCTGCGCCGCCGTCCC